TTCAGGTAACATGTAGCAACAAGAATTGTAAAGTTCACAGCATTTTAGGACACAAGCAGCTTCAGAAACTTTGGTAAGAATGTGCATGAAATGTGTAAGGAAGGCCCACGGTGTTCAACGTAAAAAGTACAGTAGCTCTACATATACAGTACACTGGCAGCCACGGTAGATTTCTCTTTTCATGCATTCATCTCGCTTTAATCCAGCAGCCACTTCTTCCCTCTTACACGAAAGACAAGACTGATTTCTTCCAGAAATGCTGAAATGTGTTCAATTTAGCTGTAAAAAGTATATTTCATTAGAAATGTTTAAGTTCAGCAAACATGCAATAAAAAGAGACTTGTCTACAGTGGCCATATGTAGCTTATTTCTATCTAAAAACAGGGAAATAAAAGGATGTTGTAGATCTGAAAATGTATTTCAGGTTTACTGTAAAACTGTAACTTATCATTTTTCTTCTACTATAAATCAAAAAAACTAAATCAGTTCTTGATTTTTAAAGGTTTCAGTTGGAGTTTAATGTCCCCCAGTGGCCAAAGGCGTTTAACATTCCTTGTAACACACCAGTATGGCCAGTATATAATAGTATATCTAAGCAGCTGGTGAGGGTTGTTTCTCCACTTCTTCTCCTTCTCACCACATCCATGTTCTTCTTTTAAGGCCTGTTTAATCAGTATAATTCTGAGCAATCGCAACACTTGCCCAGTCTCTTCCTCGTCTGTTTTTGAGTTCATCCCCGCTTTGTACCGCCAGCACCTGCCCACTGTTAGTTATAAGCTCCCAGTGACATTCCTGGCCAGTGCCCAGGCTGGGAACTCAGTCAGATTGAAGAGTGGAACCCCCCAGGTGGTGATGGCCAACATTACCACCGCCACGCCAATCAGATTCACCCCAAAACCTGCTTTGACCTGGAGATGAGGAGGAGAAAAATTACTTCAGTAAGCATCAAGAGTTTCTGTTTGCCACATAGTACGAAATAAAAAGAGCCTCGAATCGGATACGCTGTTCCCTAAAGTCTTTTGATTCCGCAGGTGCAAGAAGATTGTGGGACAGTGAGTGTGTGTTTGTGTGTCGTACCATGTCCCTGATCTGCACGTGGCCGTAACTGAAGACGATGGCGTTGGGGGGGTTCCCCACTGGAAGCATGACCCCAAATGACACGCACATGGTGGAAGGGATCAAAGTGTGGAGGGGGTTGATGTGCAGAGTCTCCGACTGGACAGAGAAGTACGCCATGAAGAAGAACAAAGGGGGTAAAGAGAGAGTAGTGAAGAAAAAAGACAAGAGGGAAGAGGAGAGGTGAAATGGTTGGGGGGTACAGAGGTTATAGATAACTCAGAAAAATGTAGAAGGAGGGAAGATAAAAGAAAAAGGATGATAAAGAAAAATTGAACAAACGGGAGAAAGAGAAGGTCTGAGTTACCAACTGCTACAGAAGTTGATATGACACTTAAAAAAACAACATTTTCACATAATATAATCATAAAAATGTTCGTCTGGTATTAACGTCACAACTGACCCATCCTGTCGCTATGATGTCATAGTTTTGCGATGTGGGCAAAAATTAAAAAAATTGCACATGTTGTACAATTTTATCTGCTGTTACAATGGTAAGCATTTTAAGTTTTTTTGTTTTTTTTTTAAACTGAGCTTTAAAACATGCAACAGGAGTGGTAATAAAAACCCACAGAGGCCGACAGACATCACTGACTATATTTTAAGGGCCGGTTGAGATTACAAAGAACACAAAAATCATTAAAACATGTTAAAAAAGACTTTAGCCTTAATGAATGCAGTGTAGTTTGGAGCCGGAAGCAGGGTTCATACGTCATCAGTTAACAACTGGACAGAGGTGAAGTATTACGGCAAGTGCTGTGAAATAAAAAGAGCCTTGATGTGCACTTTATGAGTAAGTGCACGAGGAACAGGCGCCATTCTGCAATAAAATGGCTTGTGACGTACTGGTGAGAAAACGTCACC